ATCAAATTCGATCGTGTGAATGAACAAACGAACGTATCGACGAGAACACATCAGTTGATAGAGAGAGAGATAAACTTGTTTTATTTTATTCGTTTTTTGAATGAATTAATTCGAAAACAAATGAAACATTTTAGACCACCGATCCAAACTTTTATATGCAAGATTTTCGAACACTTTTCGCGAAAATCGACTGTTCACAAGCAACTGAAACAATCACCAATTATTGCGTTGGATACAAAAAATACGCCTGGAGTGGTTTCAAGTTAAATCTTGACAAGAGTGCCGACACAGATGAGAGGATTACGTAAAACGGTCAGATAAAATTTATAAGATCGAATAAAATATTGGTGGAATAAAATATCAACAAATCGGTGGAATAAACAATTCGACTGATAAATATATATCAACAAAAATGAATGAGAATAAACTGAAAAATGTCGAACGAAAAGACGAAAATGTGGAAAAGAACAATGAAACAGAGCAATCAATCACCTTTGAAAATAATCGAAACAATCGAACAGAAAGAGTTGAAATGCGATTTGGCTTAACGATCTGCCGATAGATTGATTTCGGAGTAATCGTCAATATGAACAACATTTGATAGATTATGAATACAAAATTAAAAACCGTACAATGGAAGAAGCTTATTGCAAAAGAATTTGACCAGAGACTGTGATAAGACGCAAAAAAACGATGAAGTAAAATCAATTCACAGAACTGAAATAAATTTATTGTTGACCGAAAAGTTGATATCATTGCTTAATCCATTTCAATGAAAAAAATAAGTAAACTCAAACAATAACATGAATAGTCATCGAAAAGAAGACGGATACGTCGAATCAAAACAAGAATTTCAATCACTGATGCAATTGATTTGTCACAACTAATCTTTTTCATTTCTAAATTCAATCACCAAAAAAANTTGAAATATGTCGGAATCAAAATAAAGGAGAGGAAATTATCTGTGATCAAGATAAAACAAACAGAAAGCAATATACATGAATCAATGAACACACCGCACTTTTGCTGCTGTGGTGGAAAACCGAAAGGGTTCTCGATGAGAGGACTGATTAGGGAAGAGTGTGCTTTACCCGCAATGGCATACAACCAACAACAGTTAACATATTCAGTAATCAATTTCGATTTGAAATAGTACGTAATCGATTATTAGTATTTTCATGAATACTATCATAAAGAACCATTCTGAAATAATTGCTCAAATAAACGAATGTAAAATTAATCGCGTTGATTTCTCCTGAACAAATTCGAGAAGAATCGTCGTTTTGAAGTGTTGCGTTGACGATTTGATGTCATCGGTTTATTTGCTAGTGACACACTGGAAGATAGTATATCAGTTGATATGGTAACACGATTCTGCTCATTACTACTGCCGCTTGAGGATGGCGTTCGATTGCGCGAGGATGACGATGACGATAGTTTTGAGGAGGAGTGATCGTTATTGTTGGTGTCTGATGTGAACTGAGTGACACTTTTGACACTACCCGAATGACGAACCACTGCCGAACTGCGAGTGGCGTTCGTCGATGCACGAACGTAGGATGCGACCGGTTCATTGGACACATGCACATCATCGGATACCAGCTGCTTCATCGTATCGAAAAACGCTCGAATTCGATATCGATCATGCGTCTGATCGCTCTCATTCACGTGTGCATTCCCACTTCCCCACACCACCGGTCCTCCGACATTTTGTGAAGATGTACTCTGCAATAGACGAACGAATGGAATGCATTCGTATTTTCATCGAGAATATTCATTGCTTATGAGNTTCAGCAAATTCAGCAATCCTATCCGACATTGCACGATCACTCAGATGTGATAATAATGAAAATAAAACGCTAGCTGAACTGATTGTAATTTTTAAAAATGATTGAGAATTATCGCAACATACCGCGCCGCCACCGTTATCACCAAATAACGATCGTATCGGGTTTGTATTGCTGGCGGTGGAGGTGGAAGGATAATTTTTGCTATTTTCGCTAGTCAACTGCATCATCGCATCTTCACTCATCAACATCATCTCATCACAATCACCTTCTAAATCAAAATCAACTTGCCATAGGTTACTTTCTTAATTTCGTAAAAAAATATTGTCTCCAAGATCAACTCAAACCGTTCATCAGAACCAAACGAACAAACGAACCAGTATTAGTAGCAATAACTAAATTGACGAGTTGCTGTGAATTGGAATGCGATAATAAACGATTTGCAGGGATACGGTTCGAACTGCTGCCAGACGCAGTACTCGTAGCTCTCGTTCGACGTTTGTAACTACTGCTACCACAAGAGGTTGTTTCTTCTCTGCAGTTCACGTACATCTTTATATCGATACAATTCGAATGAAGCGAATCGCATATTTCATAAGAACATTTGGAAATTACATATCGATTTCAAACTGGTCTTGACAGGAATAATAGCAGCAGAATTACCTATTGTGAGCATGAGCGTTGATATCTGGATGTTGCTGACTCTGATTNCTGCTACTGCATGGACGATCATCACCTGATGAAAACATATACATTCAGCTGTCCTTCCTTCACCATTCAACAGTAAACATTCAGCGTTTGAAAATGTCAGCAGCGCTAAGTCAACGAACACTCTTTTGCGAATTTTCACGGCAAACTCCCTCCACAAATTCACAAAAGAACGAAATTTTCGACTAACAAATTAAGATGAACGCAGTTGACGTTCATCAAGATAATAAGTGAAAACAAATTCAGGTGAACAATAAAGACTTCGAACAACTCTAACAATAGGGATTTTGAACGAAAGCAACGATGAGAGATCGGGTGTGCAATTAATAAAATGAAATGGAACAAACGAAAGACTAAATGAGTCAAAACGAACCACCACCGATCCTATTCGCATCATTGATATGATGTGATGATATTGGACTCAGATCTCTCTCTTTATCCCTCTCCCTGTCCCGATCACGACAACACAGTTGCGCTATCACCATCTTATCACTCGCGCTATCAGTTAATGATTTCGCATCAATCACCGATCCAGCCAATGCCACTGTACTTGCTATCTCTTCACAATAGCTCACTGCTTCTTGTCCAGAACACATCGTACGTACACTCTGCAATGTTCAGCAATTTTGCGACGACTATTTGGAATGAATAAACTGACGAACGAATCCTTCCAACAATAACCAATAGTGCATCGGGTAATAACACGATTTATTTCAATTTGTGTGATAAACAACGAATATGCTTACATACCTTCACATGAAATGCATACACATGTTCATTACTGATACAACGAAACAAAATTCAATTCGCAGAGATCACTCACTTTGTCATCATAATATTGAGATCCAGCCATTGCTTTCGTACTAGCCTCTTCATAATTGCATTTCTCACCTAAACTCATAACACCTGAAATAATGATTGAAAAATATTCAATAAAACCATTCGAATGTGGAACTTTCTATTCGCCCTTTCGGGAGTGGCGATTCAGAAGCATGAAAACTTTTCAAATTCAATGCAAATTGTGAATNAGTCCACGGAATGTGTTAGAATGAATGACGAAATACATCGACGAATGTTCGTGTATGTAATCAAAGAGCAAAAAATTGAACCAGATTCAAGACTCGGTCTTCTACGACACAATTCAGCTTGAACGTGTAAACGACTATGAGTTTGGTGCTGTGTTGTTGATGACGATAGACCACTGTTGATCGATAAACCTGTTACCACCGACGTTCCATCTTGACGCTCAACATCATTCAGCAGACGTGATTTTTCTTGATCACCTTAATATTCATACCAGTCACATATCCTAATGATCACTTCGTTGCAATCGAAAATAATCAAACGAATAAGCTAACCAGCATCTTCATTCACTTCATGCCATATTTCGTCATCATCAATCTCGTTAAGTTCCAACAATGAAGACGTGTTTCCGATACCACAACCACCATTACGGCATAATGATAACGGTACCACTCCGTAAACATATGCTAACATTATTGGCACACCAACACCTTAATTAATCTCCCACATATGCAGTAGCAATCCTGGACCAATGAATTTCTGTCAGCTCATTTTACGAATGAATTCAATGAAAGTGCTTCACTTTTGTTCGTCAAAAGAGTGATCTAACAGAACTATGAACGACACGAAGAGAAGGCAAGAACTGACCAACAGCCATGACTGCTAAAACAGGACTCACAACCAATGATCCAATAACACTGCTCGTTGTTAGCAATCGACGACGCACTTTTGAATGGTGTGCGAAACGTTGATTCACTTTCCTTGAAGATTTCATTTCGAAATCGGTATTTTATGCACACAATACAGTTGGCAGATGGATCGTTTAATGAAAATGTTCACTGTCATCAAAGTTGGCCACTACTCAAATGGTTCCTTCTCTCAACACTATCATCTGCAATTTAGATTCTTCTAAACAAAACAAAAGAATCACCTTCCAACGAAAACAGGTACTCCGAAGATGATGCCGGGAATTGCAAGGCCAGCAATTAAAGCGATCGCAACCGGTGCACCAATCAGCGTACCAACTTGCCAGAGCAGTTTCTTCTTTCTTGTCCACGGTTTTTTACCCCAAAACGTACATCCCGTTGGACTGAAAGGAAGTTCTTTTGTTCATTTACTATCGTTCAATCCTCTCACGTTTCTTCCGTACAAAAAAATTTCACTTGAATCACACACAGCAAAAAAAATTACATTCGATAAACTGCACGTTATCACTATATCACATACAATTACTTAGCACTCAAAAAATATTCGGGATCACTAAAGATCTCATCAAGATCGTTCAATGAACAATTAATTCTCGGCTGATATGTGATGCTTAAACGCTCGCTTACTCATCACTTCTGTAAACAGTGCAGTGTATTGTAGCAGAGTAGAGAATACTAAACTGTTTTTTT